AGGATTTTGACAGAGATTGGTTTGACTTTATAGATTGCTTTGGGTAGTATATCTTAACAATATACACCTTCCAATTCATGAACATGAAATATATTTCCATTTATTTATGTCTTCTTTAATTTCTTTCAGCAATGTTTCGGAGTTTTCATTGTATAAATCACCTTTTTGGTTAATTTCTAACTACTTCATTCTTTTTGATGCTACCGGAAATGAAACTGTTCAGGGAATTTCATTTTCGTTCTTTGACATTGTATCCTGCTACTCTGCTGAATTTACTTATTAGTTCTAGCAGTTTTTTTGTGGAATCTTCAGAGTTTTCAATATGTAAAATCATATAACCTGTTAACAGAGATAATTTTACTTCTTCCTTTCCAATTTGGAAGCCTTTTATTTCTTTTTCTGGCCTAACTGATATGGCTAGATCTTTCAGTACAATTAATGATAGCTTTAAAGAATTTTTGTAACTCCATAAATTCCCCATTGTTTCTTATAAGGCTTAACTTGAATTTTGTTTGTTTTGTTCTTTTCTTTGCAGTTTATCAAGCAATCTTAAGTACTGAAGGCAGTGTAAGCCCAAGGTTTGTTCCTTTCACTCTGTATCTTGATTGTGGCAGCTTCTTATAGGTGTACACATTGACAAAACGTTTCCCTTTAAATAAAGTTAATTGTACATAAATTATACCTAAGCAAAGTTGCTTTTCAAAAAATTGCTCTTAGGAGAACTGGCCTCAACACAAGCTACATAAGATTATCACAGATGATGCACCTTTGAATATGAACTCACCACAATTACAAAATACTTGAGGAAACAATCGTGAGCAAGAGTCAGTTACAACAAATGGCAGTATTATAACCCTAAAAACTTCAGATAATTGAACAATATGGCAGAGACTGTAACTTAAATTTATTTAAAATTCCTGTAACATAAAAACGAAGATACCAAGAGAAACAAACCGGTAGATTTGAAAATGAACCAAAGAATATGTCTAAAAATAAGAATCCAAAAAGCAAATTAAATCTAGTTGAAGAGTAAATTAGCATGCAAAGATAAAGGAAATTACCCAGAAGGTGACAGAAATACAAAGATGAAAATTATGAAAGAAAGAATAAGAGATGTGGAGGGTAGAATGAGAAGGTCCCATGTAAGTTAAATATGAGATCTGGGAAAGGCACTACTTAAAGAGATAATGACTGGGAAGTTTTACAAAACTGATGAAAGATGTGAAATCTCAGATTGAAGAGTCACTACAAGCTTCCAATAGGATAAAATTAAGTCCACATCCTTTAATGAAACTATAGAACACAAATGACAAAAAGATCTTAAAAACAATTAGAAAGAAAGGCAAGTTATCTACAATGAAGTAATGGTTAAATTGTCAGCATAGTTCTCAAGAGTAATAAAAAGCCTGACATTTTCAAAGTGCTGAGAGAAAATAATTGGAAACCTAGTACCCAGCTAAACCATCAATCAAGACTAAAGAGGAAATAAAGATATTTTCCAACAAAGAGTGTTTACCACTAACAGACCCTCACTAAAGAAAACACCTGCCTGCCCAGCCGGGCGTGGCTCAGTGGTTAAGCGTCAACCTAGGATCCAGGCGATCAGGGTTTGATTCCCGGTCAAGGCACATGCCCGGGTTACGGGCTGCAGCCGATCAATGGTTCTCTCATCACTGATGTTTCTATCTCTCTCCCTCTCCCTTCCTCTCTCTGAAATCAATAAAGATATATTTAAAAAAAAAAAGAAAAAAAAAAGAAAACACCTGCCTGGCCGGGCGTGGCTCAGCAGTTGAGCGTCAACCTAGGATCCAGGCGATTGGGGTTCGGTTCCTGGTTGGGGCACATGCCCGGGTTGTGGGCTCGATCAGTGACTCTCTCATCATTGATGTTTCTCTCTCTCTTCCTCTCCTTTCCTCTCTCTGAAATCAATAAAGATATATTTAAAAACAAACAAACAAAAAACACCTGAAGCATATAACTATCTATTTGACACAAAAGGAAGAAATAACTTGCAAGAAAGAGTGGTGAAAAAACAAAGAGGAAATATAGCCCTGGCTAGTGTGGCTAAGTTGGTTGAGCATGACACGTGTGCAGGTTCAATTCCCAGTCAGGGCACATACCCAGGTTTCAGGCTCGATCCCCAGTAGGGGGCATACAGGAGGCAGCCCATCAATGTTTCTCTTTCACAATGTTTCTCTCCCTTCCTCTCTCTCTAAAACCAATAAAAAACATTTTAAAAAGAAAAAAGAGTCCCAGCTGGTGTGACTCAGTGGTTTGAGTGTCGGCAGGTGGACTGAAGGGTCCCGGGTTCAATTCCGGCCAAGGGCACGTACCTCGGTTGCAGGCTCGATCCCCGGCCAGGTCAGGGCTCATACAAGAGGCAACCAATCCATGTCTCTCTCTCACATAGATGTTCCTCTCTCTCTCTCTCTCCCCTCCTTTCCCCCTACTCTCTCTGAAAAGCAATGGGAAAAAAAATCCTTGGGTGAGGATTAAAAAAAACAAAGTAAATATATACAGGTAAAATGAATCACCAACAGCACAAAACAATAATTATTACTAATTAGAATTGTTCAACATTAATGTAGAGTACTTCATTTTTGGAAGTGCTCTTTTTTTTTTTAATGAACTTATTTGTACATTTTATGTAAAATTTTCAGACATCAAAGCAATACAAATTATAAAAACTTGGAACAATAATAGAAAGAATAATATTACTGTAACCTCCCACATGACAACTGTTTGGTGTATTGCCTTTATGCTTTTTAATACGCTTTATTTTATATAACTGAGATTGCATTGTGTGTGTGTGTGTGTGTATATACCTGTATATAAAATGTCCTAACCTGTTTTCAGAAGTGCTCATTTTTAGTACGGACAATACCTTTTACAATTCGTAGTGTAAACTAGATAGGAAGCTGAAATAAATGACCCCCAACATACTTATTCACCCTAGGGTTTTATTGATTAGACACAGCTATCAAAACATTCCCTCATCAGCTGGGGTTGGCCATCTGAGACAGGGCTTTGCCCTATCCTAAGAGTTCTAGAACTCAAGGCTTACTTCTAGGCATTCTTCCCATTCCCATATTCCATAAATTAAAAAAACGCACATTCTAAATAGAAATGTTTCTTATGTAAGCTTTGGGGCAATATCTTCTAGTTTGGGAGGAGTGGAGCTTTTGGCTTTAGATTAAGATTCATCATTTGCTTCAACTTGGGCTCCCTAAGTAATGTGCCTCTTCCTCTATGAGAGAATACTACACTGGAACAGAAAGGGAGGGAACACATACACTCCTCCCTGCTGACTGAAAGCTACTTTATGTGACCTGAACATTCCCTCTAGGTTCCCATATATTCACCACAGTACAGATCTCCACAAGATAGAGCTCCCCAAATCCCTTACCATCAAAGGTTTCGGCCCACCGCAGAGTAACACACTTGACAATCCATAACTTTGGAAATACAAGACTAGGCAAGACACCAGAGAGTAAAGCATGCATTAAAGCAAGTAAAGTAAATATTATCACATTTTCAGGAGGCAGTTCTATTCCAGGCAAGAGGAGAACATAATACAGAGGTCCAAAAGCCACTAAATGAAGAAGGAAAGCCAGGCTCCTATCCCCTTTCAACCCAAGAAAGCGCATTCATTTAAAAGAATACATTAATGGCCATGCTTCCTCTCATATCAGCATAGGCATGAGGCTACACGAACAAAAGACACTCTACCTAGAAGGGCAACATGCAGACACTCTTAGAATACCAGATGAAAAAGCTACTTCTGGGTTAAGCAAAAGAGGGCGCCCAGAGGGCTCTTTCCCATCCACAGCCTTCACACAGTCACTTTACAAGTCATAAATTTGTACTCTCCAAGATGCATCCACGAAACACCTTACCTGATCTGATCCTCAAAACAACCCCAGGAAGTAGGTAATGCAGGTAAATTCGCTGTTTACACACATGAAAAGTGAAGCTTTAAATAAAGTGGCTCCTCCAAGCCAATCTGCACCCCCTCACAGCTTCTTTCCTCCCCCTCATCTTCATTTAGGCGCACCGCCCCCCCCAAAACACCAGTATAGCCCAGCACGCACTACCTATGTAACCCAGGCCGAGTTAAACCTCAGATTCCCCATCTGTAATAAACTACAATAACGATGTTAGGAATATTAAAAAGATGATCCATATAATGGGTGTGGCACAATGTCTGACACGCCCCCAAACAGATTACTCCCTAGGTTGATGCTTAGAAAATGTTTACCACTATTACTACTATTGTTACTATTACTCCTATTATTAACAACAATAGGCAAAGACTTCCCACTACAGGACCCCTCGGGACAAGCCTTTCAGAAACGTGCACTTCCCACCCCCACCTTCACCCTCGCGACGCCCTCAGCCATAATTTCAGACACGCCCCCAAACAGACTCTACCCCTTACGCACGCCCGGCACCTCCCCCTCCGACATACCCCTCTCCTCACAAACCTTACCCCAGCCAGATTCTCCCCAGCCAGACTCCGTTACGAAGGAGGCCTTCTGCTCGCACCCGCCTCTCCAGCACCCCCTCTAGGGCTGGGCATTCCTGTGGGCCCCTAGGCTGAACGCCAGTCGCGGGCCCGCGCCGGTTACCTGGACGCGCGCTCCCGCTCGCTTCCCGCTTCCTCCAGATCGCGTTCGACGGGGACTCGCGCCAGCGCCGTGAGTGCACAGTTAGTTTAAACTATGGCCCCACCCCCTCGCACCGCGCTCTGATAGGCTCCCGTGGGCTGGTGCGCACGCAAGGGCACGCCTGAGGACCGGGGAAAAGGAAGTGTGAGGGCCACCGGGAAAAAAGAAAGGGTGTCACTATTACTCGACCCCGGCCCGACCTGAGGGGAAAGACTACAAATCCCAGCACATCCGTGGCCTTGGAGCCCCGCCCCTGACAAACTACAGCTCCCGGTAGGCACTGCGGCAGTGCTTACGACGCCTGGCCGAGGTGTAGTGTCGAAGGTAGTTACCATGGAGTTACGCTGGGTAACCCTCAGGTAGTGAGTGGGACGCCGAGGCTGGAAGGGCAGCAACTGCGGGTGAGTCGAGCGGGTAAATAGGAAACTCGTTCCAGAAAACAAAAGCTCCGTTGAAAGGGGAAGGGCACTTTCTTTCACGGGGACCTGAGATACCCCTCCCCCCCCCAAAAAAACACCTTTACTCTCTATCACAATGAACAAGACACAACACCCATATGGGATAGACGGGCGGGGGAGGGGAGGGATACATACCCATACAGATTCCGGGGTGCTTAAAAACCCCCCCCCCTCCGGTCACAAACATGGGGCTTCCTGATACAAATGCCTCAAATCCCTGGCACCCTGGGAGATATGAAACGCCCTGATAGGCTTGGTTTTCCTGATGAACTGAGACCCAGGGTCTTCAAGACAGGAGAGTAACATCAGAGTAAGTCACAGCCCTAATCCTGGAGATGTAAGGAACTTTATGGGGTTTGCACTGCCCCTTCCAAGCAGGAAGATCCCAGGGTAGGAGCCCCTGTCTCAGAGTCTCAGCAGGATCTTTCCACACACCGTATTAGGGGTCCTGTCCCCAAGTTGTCACTTCTCCCTACACCACCTCCATGGTCTGCTTCTCAAAGCTCTACAGTTAGAGCTTCATTCCTTTTTGTCTTCATGACAGATCTGTTGCATTTAGTAACTTGCCCAGCACTTTCATATCCAGTGTCTCTCTTGAACTTTGTGAATCAAGGATATTTATCCCCATTTCACAGATTGGAAAACTGAAACCCAAAGAGGCGCAGTCACTTGCCCAAGGCCACACACCAAGTCAATGCCAGCTAGGACTAGATTCCAGTTCACTAACATCCAGCCAAGTCTCTAACTTGAGCCTACAAACTCTCTAGTTTAAAGACTTGTTCCAAGGAGTAGGAACTGCCCCAGGGAAAAAGAAACCTGTATGGCCCACATTGGATTATTTACATTTCAGCCTGAATGAGTTTCAGATCTTTCCTTGAAAGTTGACATGGGAAAGGGAACTAGAGAGACTGAAGACAATGGAAATCAAACAGAAACAGGAAACTGTCTGGCTACACAGCACCCAGGTCTGATGCTACCATGATTAGCTGGTTTCTGGCTGGCTTCTAGCTGGCCCTGATTGGTCCCCTACTGTCTTAAAGTCCCCCCAGGCTTGGTCCTAGGCCCACTTCCTACCTCACTCTCTATTCCCTTGTTGGGGATTCTCATCCACATCCACAACTTCAGTTACCACCTGTGTACGTCTCCAGCCCAGCTCTCATCTCTTAAGCTCCAGGTCTGTATAGCCAATTGCTTCTTCAACATCTCCTTCAGGATATGTCAAAGACAACCCAAACTCAACACGTCTGCAACTGAACTCATAACCTCTTTGTACTCCAAGCCTGAATTTCTTCCAGTGTTCTCACCTCTGTCCATTACAGAAGCCAAAAAAACAAGATTTAGCTTTAATACCTCTTATATTTCCTATTCATCGTAAAGTCCTGTGAGCTTTACTGCTATAATCCTAACAACCATCACATCCTTCCTTCCTACCCTCCCAGCCCTTTTGCATACTGCAACCAGAGTAATCCTTTAAAAATGGAAATTTGATATTGTTCACCTTCCCCATCCCACTCTCACTTAAAAAGTTACCTTGTTGCTTCCTATTGCTCTTAGCATCAAGCAACATCTCATCCTGACTCCTGCCCACCTCTCCAGCCTCTAGTCTAACTATACATATCCCTCCTTTTATCCCCTCCAGTTAGTTATATGGCCTTTTTAAAGGTCTTCAAAATTTCTAAGTAACCTCTCATCATAGAGCCTGTTTTTTCTGCCTGGAATGTTCATCTCCCCTCCTCTTCCGCCCCCCAGTACAGTTAATTTGTACTTATCCTCAATTTCTTCTCTCAATCACTTCTTTAAAAATGTCTTCCTGACTGTTCAGCAGGTCAGATCCCTCAGTTATAGTAACCTTATGTTCCTTACCTTTATAGTATTGTTTGTTCACTGTAGCAATTTTTAATGTATTTGTTCAGCACCTAGTACTTGCCACCACATAGGGATACAATTATGAGAAAAACATGGTTCCTGACCTGGTGGAGTTTATGGACATACAAATAGTAAGCAGATCATCCTAGTGATATGAGTGCTACCACGGCAGTAAGTATAGGGTATTTTGGAAGCTCAGAAGAGAGTTCCACATCCAAGATTTGGGCCTAAGATCAGGAGCCTCAGAAAAGATGAAACCCGAGCTAAGTCGTGAAGTAAGAATTGGCCAGGCAAAAGGAGGAAGAAACTGTATTCCAAACAGAAAGCTAGCCATGTTCTCTTGGCACTGGCAAACTTTAAACTTCTCTTTAAACTTCTGTTTGCTTCACGTTCACCAACATCCCATTGGCCTCAGAAAGTCCAATGGCTGAGCCCAGCATCAGAGTGGATGGCACTAAAAGTAATAGGGCAAAAGAAATGGAAATGGGAGACAATGAATAGAGATCATCAAGGGAATCAATCTACCATAGGACACACTGATCAATTTTATCTGGAAAGTGATCAACAAAAAGGGTACACTAGAGCTGAGTATTGAAACAGGAGAATATTTACTAAGTGGGCAACTGTTTCTTAGAACTGGATGCAGGCCATTTTGCCACAATCAATAGAAACCTAGCAGGTCTTCCTGTGCTCATGACAGACAGGGTTCTATTATTTGTATCTTGGCTTCATCCCTTCTGGTCAGGCACAGGGCAGCAGGCATTCAGCAAATGTTTGCAGAATTGAATTGGTTACTGTGAATGAGGTGTGGACCGAAACAGCTGAACCTCAAAGCCAATTGTTAGAACAAGCAGCTTAGTATCAACACTTCCAAAACAGAAATCCTGTATTTGGCAGTTTCTCATTCATTCGTCTCACAAACATTTCCTGAGTGCCCGTGGTAATAAGCCAGGTTCTGTGATAGGTGATGAATAAGACACAATACTAGCTTACAGCCTGGGCTACTGTTGTAAGTGGAGATTAATAACCCTTTCCAAATTTTTCAAATTTATCCAAATACTTAGGGATCCATTTTTAATACTAACTCACCCAGAAAAATGCATCAGAAGCCAGTACCACACTAAATCAGAAGTTTTTAAGAAATGCACTGAGGTAATTTGATGGTCAAGGAGACTAATAGTAAAAATCTGCCCTTAAACATTTCAAGCTAAAATTCATGTCCAGTAGTGCAGAACTCTGGGGTCCCAACCCAGGTCTTTGAGAAAAGTATCCAATCTTGCTCAAAGGCATCAGACCTACTTGTAGATTCCCAAGTGGAATGCACTTCTGTCTAGATGAGAGCACAAGTCAGGTTCCTCTATTTCTGCAAAAGAATGATGTGGGGTTTTTTTGTTTCTCTGTAGATGTTATCTAAAAGATTCAGCTCTCCCTAATCAACAACCCATGCCCACCTGGCCAGCCCCTCACTAGACGGAGTTCAGTTGTTACGTGACTCAAGCCGGCACTTCCCCAAAGCTCAGTTGAGACTGCTGCTTTTTTAGAGGAAGCCATTCACTTTCCATTCCTCTAAACCAGCCATTTTCAACTGGTGTGCCACAAGAATTTTAAAAATATGCAATACCTGACTATTTAGTCAGGGGCACTCACCTCTTTTCCCTTAGGTTGTCATTATTAAAAAATGACAACAGCCAACACAGCAATAGCCATCTGGTGTGAATGATTCAAAATCTTATGTTTTTTGGTCAGATTGGCAAAAAATTATTTTTTTGGTATGCCACAGAAGTTTAGTAATTAGTTTGTGTGCCATGAAATGAAAAAGGTTGAAAATTGCTGCTCTAAACTTGTTAAATTCTATCCTTGCATATATTAATTTACACACAAAAAATTTACTTGAACTGTATGTATTAAGCTTAAACTGAAATGCAAACTATCAGCTCTATAGTTTTAAAAAGAAATTCCATTTTAAGAACATTTGTGAATTTGTTTCTGCATATAAACTATTTGTTTCTTTGAATCAAGTGATGAAAACCACATATCCTAATGTTTCCCTTTTGGCCTTGTTTGCCAGGAATTTCAGAGCTAAATATAGGCCTAGTTTCCTAATTCTTTGGTATATCTCTCTCTTCCTTTAATCTGGTTTCTAATCTTTCTCTTCTGTGTTTATATTTTCTACATCCACATGGTCCAGTATGGTAGCCTCTAGTGACATGTGGATAGCGAGCACTTGACAGTTTGTCCAAATTGGGATGTGCTACAAGTGTAAAGAAATATATATATTTTTAATCCTCACCCAAGGATATTTTCTCCATTGCTTTTCAGAGAAAGTGGAAGGGGAGGAAAGAGGGGGAGAGAGAGAGAAAGAGAAAGAGAGAGAGAGAAACATCAGCATAAGAGAGACACATTGATTGGTTGTCTCCTGCACGTGCCCCAACCAGAGCCAGGGATCGAGCCTGCAACCAAGGTACGTGCCCTTGGCCAGAATCGAACCCGGGGCCCTTCAGTCTGCAGGCCAACTCTCTAACCACTGAGCCAAACCGCCTAGGGCTTTCCCTGTTTCTTTAGATTTTTTTTTTTTTTTTTTTTTATGGCTACTAGAAAATGTTAAATTACATATGTGAAAAAAATTATGTATGTGGCTTGCATTTGTGACATTCTTTATATTTCTGTGGGACATTCTTTTCTACAAATCATCCTGTTTTGAGTGTGTTATTGTAAACTACCTCAAATCCCTTTGGAAAGCAGGTGAAATAGTAAATGCAAAGGAGGTGATGGCAGTGGATAGAGTGAAAAAGGGGAGGTTCACTAGGACATATACTTGTCCTTGCAATCCATTTGGTTGTGTCACATATAAAACCCCTCCATATTTTCAGCTGTTCTGAGCAGATGAATAGTGTTCTTATGACTGCTCAGACTCTTGAAAAGTTCTCAGCTTTCCTTAAGCTAACAAATTTTGGAAAGGATCTGATTAAGACAATTCACACCACATGGTAAATGACTGATAACATTGTGTTCACCCTTCTCGGGGTATTTCCATTCTGACAGGGAACAATCTCTGAAGCCAAAGGAATGAATCCCTAATGGTGGAGTTTCAGGCATCAGTGACAGGTGAGTGCGAGTAAGGTAGTTCTAGTTTTATGTGTGTTTACATACATGTGACTACATTCAGGATGTGGCTGCAAGTAGGGTCCTTGGATGAAAAGATAATGAGACTGATGAACAAGCTGAGCAGAGAAAAGTAGCAAATCCCCAGCTGGATCAAACTCTAAAGGCTATCAGACACCATGACCTCAGGGGTTTGTTAAGCAATAGAATAGCCCAGTTGATGTCACCAGAGGGTAGGTACCAAGACAGTCTCCATGGTAACTACTGTGGAGTAGTAGGAAGGGCCTCAGAGTAGGATTCAGGAGACTATGATTGTGGTCCACAACTGACTCACTGGCTTAACTTTGGGCAAGTGCTTTCTCTCTGGGGTCTCAGTTTCTGTCTGGAAAGTAGAAATGGGTGTTATAACTATCAATGAACTCTAAGGGATGTGAAGGGGCTCTGAGAAGTAGGAAGTGGCCAACAAATGCAAAGAATCATGATTACTATCTTAAAATATGAATGCAGCCAGACAAGCCTAGAGTAGTGGAGGGTAGAAAGCAAGGGTGGAGGGCAGTGGGGAAATCTGAGGGCTTATGCCCCTTGTACCCGGAATACCAGTCCTTCTCTGTCCTCCCAGGCTGAACCCGGACTCCCAGGGCCCGTGCTTACACCTGACAAATTATGGCCTGAGCTATGAGCAAACACGGCTGCATGAACACTTCGGTGCAAGAGCCCCCTCTTGACTACTCCTTCCGAAACATCCAGGTGATTCAAGGTCAGCCCACAGACAACAGCACTCCACTCACCATGGCAGCAGGCTGGGTGCGATCCCCTAGGGAGAAATCAGCCTTGTACTTAAAAGCTTCAAGAGATTCTTCTGTATGCTTGCATATTTTTTTGTTGTTTTTTTTCTAGGAGGAGTAGAAGAAAGGGAGGTGGGAGTGGAAGTGTTTGGCCTTTTAAAAAATTAGCAGAAAATCTGAAAGGAAAAGGGGCTCTCAGGGTAATTGATCATCTTCAAAACACAGGCTACAGCAAGAAAGTCAGGTGGGAGAAAGCTGGGAAGCCAGTCTGTCAGCCAATAGTTTTATTCTGTTTTTACCTGGAGAGAGGAAGAAGCTAATGGAAGGGAAACACAGCCTGCAGCAGAGTCCTATCTCCTCAGTCTGAGGACACAAGCTTATTCTGATAACCGGTAAAACATGGGGGATCTTATTATTAACAAACTGGCATGTTTCCAGTTTAAATATTTATTTTTTATATTCATTCCAGTCATATCCAAGTTTATTCCATCATCACCCACACTTATTGCAGGTTCTAGCACTGCCCACACTAATTGCCATTTTATCATTCGATGTCTTTGTAAATGGGCAGCTAGTATCTCTCAGGAAGGGACACAGCAGGACTCTAAGCAATATCATATTTTCAAGGGAATATGCTTCTTCCCAGGGAAGTTCTTCTGTCCCTTGCTTGTTATCAGGTCTCATAAATGCTTCAGTGTATCTGCCCTCACAGAACACAGGTTGGCATCAACATATCCTAGACCCATTATCTGGTTTAGCTCTTTCTTAGGCAATTGGTGGACACTTTTAAGTTCAGGAAAGAGGCAAACAGTTATCCAGGGTACTAGATACTACTTGGGTTTGGGTTTAGCGTACTACTTGGGTTGGCATCAGCTACGATAGTAACTCAAGTTTGTTCTTCAGTGAGGACACACCACCTACCATGGTCTTTATTTTTTTATGCATGGTGTAGTCCATGTTTCACAAGGGTTTTAGCTGCAGTAATGGCTACATACAATATAGCTATGGTGACAGAAGTAGAAGGAAAGTGTGTCTCCCACCTACACTGGGAAGTCCCACCTCTGAGCAGGCAGATGTAGTTTACTCTCTATGGAGTCCTCACAATGAAGATAGAGACAAGCTACTACAACCAAGGATAACTCCACAGCACAAAACATAATCAGTACAGATCCCCTGTTTTTCATTCAACAGTTAAATATTTGTTGAGCACCTATATCCGTATGTATTGTGTGTGTGTGTGTGTATATATATGTGTGTGTGTGTGTGTGTGTGTATACATATAGGCCAACCATAGTGCTCCTTGATGAATATTAGGAGGGGAGAGGAAGAGGCACATCAAAGCCCCCAAAGGCCAATCCCCTCAGGTTCCCCGGAGCTATGGAACACTTACTTAAAATTGGGGTTAGTGGACAGGGTAGAGTTTGGGGATACCTGGTACACTACTTACTAATTAATCAATAGATAAATCATAGAATCTGAAATGGCAGTGACTTTAGAAGGTATACAATCTGTACTACCTCTAACCCATGGCCCTCTAACTTTTGCTCACCTAATGTTAAGGGAGTCCCTTACCATATACACCTACCCATCCCTTCCATTATGGGGTGAAGAATGACACAAGGAAGTTCTTCATATCAAACTAACTTCTGACTTCTGGGGACACATGGGAAAAGTTGCATGGTGACCCTTCAGACATATGAAGACAGAATCACATTCTCCCCAGGTTTTCCTGTAGCTAGAAAACCTCTAGTTCTCTGAGTGTTGATATTTGTGGTCAGTTTCCAGACCTGCCTTTGCCTAATCTGAACAAGGCAGCTTCAACATATCCTCAGGTGATTCAGTGCCCTGGTGGAGCCTGAGGAGAGCAGTAACCTGTAGCAGTCTGGATACCTTGCTCCACCCTTGATAACAGCAGCCCCAAGTTTTAGGCAATGCCATCCCACCAGTGGCTCCCTCTTAGCTTGGGGTCAGCCCAGGATTGATGGCATTCCCAAGCTGCTGCCTTATCACACTGGATGCTAGTCCATATGTGGCCTATTTTGACCTTGGCTTTTATTCATCTTTGTCATTTCATTTCAGGACTTGCAGTCAGGAGATGTGAGGTTGGGAGGCAGGATTAGGAATTTCTTCATGAGCTGGGGTGCTCCAGTATCATTCTGCCACTTTCCTCCAACCTCGCCTCAACTGGGGGTTCTGCTCACTCTAGGATTAAGACAGGGAGCCATCTGGTGGATGCTGCGTGACATGCAGCTGAGGAGAGGAAGTTAACATTGACTAGGGGTGGGAGAGGAAGTATGTCCAGTTAAGAGCTGAGGGGAGGGTAAAGACAAGCTGGCCCTATTCAACAAATACTAAATTTTTCCTTCCCTAGAGACAGCTTTAGACAAGTAACCAGAGGCAAAGGGGCAATAGGAAAACTATAGTCACCTCAGCCAGAGCTGGTGTCTGATTCTGGCTCTGCCACTGTAAGCTTGGGCATAGCCCACCCTCTCTCTAGACCTCATTTGTCCAAAACAAACAAAAAAGGGAAGGGGGTAAGTAGGTATAGGGCTGTCCATATAGATGGGTTCTAACATTACTCTATTCCCTATTCTCCTCTTCACCTAAACTTTCTGAGGGTATTGTTTACACTACCTGCTTATAGTTCTTTAGCTTCCATTCACTCCAGTCGAGCTCATGTCTGCCATCTCATTGAAACAGCCCTCACCAAAGTCACCAGGGACTTCTGAGTTGTTTCAGTCCTCATCTCCCAAAAAATCATTCCTATAAACTATGGACTCCCTGAGCATCTTTAAAACTACCCTCTCCCGCCCTAGCCAGTTTTGCTCAGTGGTTAGAGCATAGGCCCGGGGTCCGAAGTGTCACAGGTTCAATTCCCGGTCAAGGGCATGTACCTAGATTGCTAGTTCCCCACCCATGTCCAAGTGCTAATTGATATGTTGATGTTTCTCCCTCTCTCCCTTCCACTCTCTGAAAAAGCAATGGAAAAAAATATCCTCGGGTGAGGATTTTAAAAAACCAAAAAATTATCCTTTCCTGGTTCTCCCTGTCCTTTCCTGATTATTTAGTAACTTCTTTAATGGACTCCCCTTCCTCCTTGTGCCTCCTCTCTACTTTTTCCTATCCCTGAGGACTCTCATCCATTTCTCTAACTTGTTCATTCTCTATGCTAATTATTCTCAAGCCTGTCTCTCAGACTTTCATATCCAACTGCCTACTTGGCTTTCCACCTTTTTGTACTATAGGAACCTCAGGCATACCAGTGCCAAATCTGAACTCATCACCTGCCCAACCATGTTTCTCCCTTTCTTAATTCCATTATCAGTTACATCAGTCAACCATCAAGTCATGCTGACTGTCCATCTCTTGCTTGGATGATTGAAAGAGCCAAATTGGTCTAGTCCCATCCACTCCCTAAAATCCAGACTCCATACTAAAGCTTCAGACTGATCTTTCTTAAATGAAAGATTTGATTATCTCCTTTGCTCTAAAACCTCCAGTGGCTTCCCATCACCTACGATAAAGTCCAAGATCTCAGCCTGGCATAGAGGTTCCTTGTCTCCTTTTTCCTCCTTGCCCCCTGTGCAGCACATACATGTACACCCATTATGTTCCATAACGTCTATGCCTTTGCTCATACTCTTCTCACCCTTCCCACCCTTCTCCTAATCCACTGAGATCCAGCTCAGGTTCCACCTTTCCTGGGAAACTTCCATGAGCTCCAGACTGTTAGGAGCCCCTCTTCTGTGCTTCCATAACTTAAATAGCATTTATCATACTATATTGCCAGTTTCCTTCCATGTTGCCCCTTTGAGCTCCTCCAAGACAAAAACATCTGCTTCATTCCTGCCCTATTACTCATACAGAGCTTGGCTCAGACTGTCTCTCACATTGTTCACCATGGTATATCCAGCATTGGGTACATAGTAGTTGTTCAATATTAATGGAAGAGAGCAAATCAGAGTGTTACACTGAAGTGAATTCTATAGGCTCTACCGGTGGATAATTCTGGATTTTGTGCTGTCGTCATTTTGGCTCAAACTCAACTCTGGTTTTGAGTTTCCTCATCTATAAAATAGTTGTTGTTTTGTCCCCCTCTCCCCAACACACATACAGAGAGGAGCCAATGATAAAATACATATGAGAGGAGCGTGTGACCTAAACCAAGAGTTTGGGATAGGAAGTCTTTGGCCCCTACTCCAGTCTTATTGACTTCTGGAGCCTGCGAGATGGGGGTCTTTAGCTGACAGTAAGTAGTCGCACTAGACTCAAGCGTCGATCTATGGCCCTGCCAGCACCTCCAGTTAGCTTGGGCTGCTTGTCCTCTCAGCTCCGTCCCTTCCCATCCCCTAGAACCAGACAATATACCCAGGACTCACTTTGTTTCCACAGATCTGATAAGCGAGGAGCCAAGGACAGGGCTGCGACCACTAAGGCACTCAAAGTCAGGGAAGTCACTGACCCAGTCCCTGTGGCTGAACAACAATGTCCTCAATGAGCTGAGAGACTTCAATAATGTAATTTCACAGCTGCTGGAACATCCGGAGAACCTGGCTTGGATCGACCTGTCTTTCAACGATCTGACTTCCATTGATCCTGTGAGTTTCCAGCCCTGGGAGTCTAGTCAGATTGGGCCAGAAGCTACCCTGTCTAGCCCCCAGCCTCTCCACTTCCCACATTTCATCAAGGAAATTGTGAGGCGTTATGGTACTGTGTGCAAAGCACATGGCTATTGACGCAGATGTAGGTTCAAATCCTAGATTTGCCCCTTACAATTTTGGACAACCTTCCTATCTCTTCAAAACCTCAGCTTCCTTGTCTGAAAAAATTGGGATAATATGAAATCATAAAGATTTTGTGAGAATGAAATAAGAATGTATGAAAACCAACTGGCACATAGGAGGCTGAAGTATAAAACCTTAGCTCTTGTTATAAGGCACCCACTGTGCCTTATGCAAAGTTCTTCTGTGGAAGAGGTAGATAGTAAAAGTATAGCACTTATCTTCTCTGCACTCAGTCTCAAGTTTTAAGAAATATATAAACGGGTCCCTTCTTGTCCAGGATCCATTAGGGGGAAAGGAGCTATAGCACAACTTAGGAAATGTCCCCCAGGTGTAGTGATTTCAATTTCACTACTATTATTATCTTTAAAATATATCTCTATTGATTTCAGAGAGAGGAAGGGAGAGGGAGATAGAAACATCAGTGATAAAAGTCATAGACCAACTGCCTCCTGCTCGCCCCCTGCTGGGGATCAAGCCCACCACCCAGGCATGTGCCCAGATCAGGAATCGAACCTGGATCTCCTGGATCTCAACTGCTCAGCCATGCCTGGCCAGGCTCACTACTATTTTAAAAGCTTTTCTTACGTACCTACCATGATGCTCTGCATCCCTGTCCCTTGTTGTGACAGACTCTCAGATCACCAAAGGTCTTCAGTGAAAAGGCAGCAAGCGAAGGCTCAGGTAGAGGGAGAAGGGCCCAGTCACCTGGCAAGTCAGTGGCAGTTCTAGGATCCAGGCCCATACCTTCCTGCCCCTCAGATCACAGCTCTATGTCAGTGGGATGCCTCTGTACCCCTTCGAAGGTGAATGAATGTAGGTTGGAGTAATCCAGTATGGCTGGGGATGAGGGGTGGTGGAGTGGAGGGCAAGTTGTTCCCCAAACTCTTCTCAAGTCAGTCCTGAGCACAGCTCTAGAGCCCTGTGTAGCCTGGCTTTCGGATTCTTCCCTCAACAGGTCCTGACAACTTTCTTCAACCTGAGTGTTCTCTACCTCCATGGCAACAGCATCCAGCGCCTGGGAGAGGTGAATAAGCTAGCTATCCTCCCTCGGCTCCGGAGCCTGACACTCCATGGGAACCCCATAGAGGAAGAGAAGGGGTATAGGTAAGTGCCCTGCCCTGGAGCTGGGCTGCCCTGAGGGAAAGGAGAGGAGACAAGAAACCCAACACCATCCTTCTGCCATGCTTGGGCCAGGGAAGGGAGTAGAGAGACCTTTAGGCATTTCCTGCTGTCAGGATAAACTCAGTCTCCCCCAAACTACACTCAAGTTCCTCCATTCCTGCAGTCAGGGGAGATAGCAGCAATTGGTGGTAGGGGAATGGGGTGCTGGTGGGGGGGCTGGCCCCCAGCCCGAGTCTTTCCCACAGGCAGTATGTGCTGTGCACCTTGCCCCGTATCACCACGTTCGACTTCAGTGGGGTCACCAAAGCAGACCGCACCACAGCTGAAGTGTGGAAACGCATGAATATCAAGCCCAAGAAAATCCGGATCAAGCAGGATGTACTCTGAGCCTCTCAGAACCCCAGCCGTCCCGAAGGCCTGAGGATGGCCAGTTTGGTTTTGACAATACAGTAACGCATTTGCACTGTTCACCAGATTAGAAGTCACTTGTACCGTGTAAAAATGCCCCCCCCAACTCAGGCAATTGCCAGTAGCTCTGGTCTTTCTTCACTGAAAAGTAGGCAGTGGAGGGAAAGGCTTGTTGGCCTGAGACACAGGAGACCTGGGTTCATTGCATGGCGTTGGGAAACTTATCTCAACTCTAGGTCTTTTTCTCACTCTTCAGCTCAGATATCCTGGGGTTAGAATTGCTTCACAGAGCACTGGGGTTCTATGGAGAGGCCTCTGTGATAGGAGGCCAAGAAGATAGGCCGTGAATGTTGAATCCCCCATTTCAATCAGACCATAGTAGTTACTCTCTTATGTTGTATACGTTGGGATTCTGCTTGAATTTTCATTTGATAAAAAGAATCTTCTACTTGAAAACATTGGCCTTCTGACTCCATGTCAGGTACTCCTGGTCTGTCTGCACCACCACCACCAATCCCCCCCCCC